ATATTCTTCAAGGTACTTAGACTTATCATGCAAACTATTGCAAAACCATTCGATTTCTAATTTAAACCAAAGTGACACAATAGATAGAACGTCCCATGTTTTGTTCACATATATAATAAAATATTAGAGATTTTAAATAGGATTGTCCGGCCAGCCCTGAAATTTAAAAACTCAATCTTGAATGAACCCTAGCCCTAAATAAACCCTGTTAAATATTAAATAAAGTGTTTAGGTCTTGGCTTTGGATAAGCCTGTCAAATATTAAGTAAAGGGTTTAAACTTTAAGCTTGTTGAATATATTAGTAAGATATAGATTTAAATTGACAATGTTGTTTTTTAAACAAAGCATTGGTTTGAAATTTATTTCTCAATGTTAAAATCCACAAGCCTATTTATATTGTTAAACACGTGAAACTATTGTTCATCAAGGCACGACCGAGTGGGATGAGAATAAGTTAAAACTATTATTGACTCCAGATGATGTTCAAACTATAGAAAAATTCAGACCAAGTCTAGCCAGAACAGAAGATGTTGTAATTTGGAGCTATACCAAAAGCGGAGAGTATGCAGTCAAATCAGGTTACCATTCTCTTCATAGCTCATCTCACTCTAATGCCTCTACTCTTTACCATGAATTCCCCCAAAATTAAAACATTTCTGGTGGAAAGGCCTTCACAATGCGTTACAAGTGACTGAGAATATCTGGAAAAGAAAACTAAGAATTGATGCTAATTGTGTGTTCTGTGGTGAACACTTAGAGAACGTCAACCATCTATTGTTTTACTGTAGATTCTCTAAATAAATATGGGACCTCTCTCCAACTGAAGGCTTTAGTAGAGACAAGCAGCCAACACATGATATTGAAGGTAATATACTTTACTACTTTCCAATGTCTCCAATGCTGAAGTTTCCACGGTTTTATTTCCTTATATTGGTTGGAGAATTTGGAAGGCAAGAAATGACTTTGTCTTTCAGATTAAGAGACGGTCCATACCGAAAATTATTAACATGGCTTTGCTGGACCGGAACCTATGGTTGGATGCGAATGCTTTAAGTGTGCATATGGATGAAATTGGTGTTACAAATCAGGTGGATCGAAGAAATGCAGAGGAAAAAGTACCAACCACAATGTATGAAGCGGTTAATAAATCCAATGATTTCTGTTGTTTTGTTGATGCGTCTTGGATCTATGCAGATCGGGAAGCGGGATTTGGATGGTTGCTTGTGAATCATGAAGGGAAGCAAACCCTCAAGGGATCCTCCTCAGTCCAACCTATAAGAAATGCGCAAGAAGCAGAGGCACTTGCACTTAGGGAAGCTATATTGCAAATCAAACGATGGAACTTCCATGGTGTTACTATCTGAGGGGATGCAAAGGAATTATATAGTAAGCTCCAACAATATCAGCAACCAAACAGACTAAGGAGATGGGAGCACCTTGAGCTAGCAGTATACCTAAGGGACATTTGCCTCCTAATTGGTCCAGAGCTTTGTTATAATTTCATGTACATCAAGAGAGAAGCAAACCATGAGGTTGATACATTAGCAAAGCAATCGCCAAAACTATATAATCTCATGGATCCAATGATATGTAATATGACTCATTAGTTTGATGTACAACTTTTTATTCTAATGTAGTGTTTGTTTGCCGACAAAAAAAAACAGGTGAAACTAAATTTAATTAATAAAATATTGTCATCAAAATTAGAAACTATGACTAGTTACAAATACAATAGATAAAACAACACTTACAAAAAAATAAGAAGTGAAAAAGTTATAAAATGATATTTGTATTTAAGGCTTTTAGTTTATATAAAAATGAGCTTTCTATATTTTTGTTTTTGAAATATTATTATATAATTATTTATTTTTATGGTTCTATCTAAATTTATCACTTTAAACGCG